AAAGTCTAGAATCATAAAAAATAGTATAATCCACAATTATTAAGCCAATGCATGATAACAGCTAAAAATCAGTAACATATACTGTCTTACCGGTTTGCTGTGAAGCATCTACCAGAAGCACGATTTTTGATCGATTATCAGGACCTGCTGCATTTGTCTCTTTCTGAGTAGCTACATTTTTCACCAGTGGCCTTTTGCTTTTTATGTGCTGTTGTAAAAGCTGTTGATTTAAGTAAAAAAATAGAAAATAAAAAATAAAAAATTTAAAAATAGGATTCTAGTTAATGTACTAAACATTATAGAATACACATCCACTATACAATATACCTTAATGTATGCTCCAAATCAGTGGCCCCCAACTCACAGGGAAACAGGGTTTCTGTGTTAGGATTTCATGATATTATTTTCAGCCAATCATAATAGGCTAAATAAGGTATTGTAGACACATTTAAACACTATTTTTCAAATAAACATTAACACTACTATAAATAAATATAAATTCATTTTAATTATTACTTGCATTTTAATTGTCTCAATAATTCATAAATTATGGGCATAAGAAATCGTAAATTTTTATTTAAAAGTATAATAAATAACTTATCCAAAGGCCAAATTTCAGTTTCATGATAGGAATGAAGTACAAAAGAAATTTCTGTTAAGAAGTTTACAAAGAAAACATTAAAAGCTGATTCTTTCCTTTTTTTGAAAAAATATGTGTATTCATCACTAATCACAATTTATGCAATGGAACTCTGAATTTAACTTCTTAAACTCAAGTGCTGAGAATGAACTCTGAGAATCATATTTCTTCAACATATGAAAGTTATATACTATTATCTTATTCCTAATATTTATTTCTTTTCAGTTGCAGAGGTCTCCAAAAAGATTTCCCTTGACCCATGGAGTTCCCATGAATGAAGAATAAAGCCTTTCAAAACAACTTCTGCTGCTGGTTTGTATTTTAATTTGTAAAAAGTATGCCAAAAGACAGCAAAGACTTTTCATTGAAGAAGCTTGGCTAATGGGATCTAGCAAAGCACCAACTCCTTGATACAGATATAAGATACATCTAAGAAGTAAGTTATTCTGCCTCCCACTAGTTCAAAAGTGCTGAGAAGAAAACGTTTTTTCTTATTTGCTTTGATACTAAGGCTTTAATAGAAAAGTAACCTTCTGAATAACAAAGTGGCATTCCTCCTAAAAATTCACAAAACAGAAACAATGAAGTTGAAGGGATTTAATGAACCACAAATGTTCTTTTTCATAATATTTCCTGGTTTTTGAAGACTGAAATATCCTAAAGTGCAAGAGCCATACAATACTCTAGCATGGGATCCAAACTAACCACTTATTAATATTGGTGTCACTATAAAATTTTTATCACTAAATTAAACTAATTTGGAAATATGTGTGCATTATGTTTATGTAAAACTCTTTGAAGGAACTTAAAGACGAATATAAATAATCACCAATTAAGAATGAAGAACAAAAAACAGAAAAAATTATTTTATAAGTACTATCTCCCTTAACTATTTTATGACTGGAGGCCTGGTGCATGGATTCGTGCACCGGTGGGATCCCCTGGCCTGGCCATAGGGCCAAAATAGGCTCTCTGATATCCTGCAAGGGGTCCTGGATTGCAAGAGGGCAGTTCTCAGATGACACACCCCAGAATCGGACTCCCTCCTCTCTGGTTCTGTGTGCGTCACCTAAGAACTGCAGCTGCCAAGTCACCGCAGCTCAGCAGCTCCTGTGTTGAGTGTCTGCCCCCTGGTGGTCAGTGTGTGCCATAGCTACTGGTTGGCTGGTTGAATAGTTGGCTGGTCACTTAGGCTTTTATATATATAGATAGTGAACAAAATGTTTTATAGTAAATTCAGCACTAAAAGCTAATCAATACAAGTGGCAGATTACTTACTCTATTATTAACAACAGAAATATCAAACATAAAAGCCAATCAAAATCAGTCACTTACTTTTGGTACCATTGATCCTCTGTTACTGTTTCTGCTTCGATGACTGGACAACGGGAAGACTTGTCCAAGCTGATTTGGGCGTTCAGTGCATTCTGTGGTTATAGTATTTACAGTATTTGCAGTTTGAAAGGTGTTGGAGTAAGGTGTAGGAAAAGGATGATAAAAACCCATAACTTGGGCACATGGTGCTGGCATCAGCTGATAATATGTATACTCTGTAGAAACAGGTGGCTGGGCAGGAATAATGGGGTAGGCAAGGTATGGTCCAGCAGGGTTTGGATTGGGCTGCTGCCATCGTATATCACTGTTATATAATGGAAACTGTCTGTAAAAACAAAAACAGAACAAACCGATTGATAATTATAAAAGTAACGCTACAGGAAAATTTCAACTCATTTTAATAAAAGAAAACACAGAACAAAATAGTGGCTTCATAATTCTGAAAAATGAGATAAAATTATCTTATATGTTTCTTTGCTATAGAAATAATTATATATAACAATTTAAATGGCAGTATAAAGGAATTCAACCTAATAGTTTTACTGCTTTCCAATATTTTAAAAATACTACAATCTTATTTGTTAACTCTCGTTAACATCCTCATGATAGTTCTGCCTAAAAGTTAAACACCTAACTGCTGGATCTGCCAACAGTCTTATGTTCCCACCCAATGCTAATAACTGCGACAGGCTTCTGCAAAGAGCAGCGCAAGGTGATCGTTGTGTAAAGTGATCACTACAATGGGTGATTTGATTCCTCCACATCTCATACTTTAGCTCAGATCCAGGGCCTCCTATTCCTCTCCCACACTCCCTTAAACACTTGGCCAAGTCGAACTCTTTTCCTGGCTTCACTTCTTGGCAATGGAAGCAGGCTTCAGATCCAAGGGAAAGAGAAGAAAAGGCAAGCCTGTCCACTGCCATCTAATATTCCTAGTATCAGAGCTTTTTCTAGTGCAATTCCTATACCAGCAAGATTCTTCTTCTTGTCTCAGCAGTCCTTCTCACAGAAGATTGCTGCTGATGAATGAGGGGTCAAGGAGAGCTAGACCACAGAGCTTTTCCTCACTACTCCTAAGACAAAGCAAAATGGAAAAATGTTCACTACTATAATTCTAAAAACATTTTTAAATAATCTGCTAACTGGCTTACTCATGCATTCTCAAAAGATTATTAGGTGCTCTGGCCAGTTCGGCTCAGGGGATAAAAAACCAGCCCGTGGACTGAAGAGTCCCAGTTTCGATTTTGGTCAAGGGCATGTTCCTCGGTTGCAGGCTCGATCCCCTGGTCAGGCTGTATGGGAAGCAACCAAATGGTGTGTACAGACACGTCGATGTTTTTTTTTCTATGTCTCTGCTACTCTCTTACACTCTCTCTAAAATCAATGGAAAAATATCCTCAGGTGAGGATTAACAAACAAAAATAAATTTAAAAAAAACAACAACAAAAAGATTATTTGGTAAGGTTAAAAAAAATTAAATTTGCCATACTATACACACTTGATCATTTTGTTAAAAACTATTATTAATTTTAGTTTACAAATCACTTTGGACAAAGTCCATATTGGTCAAAGATTTTTTAAATATAATGCTAAATTATTTGAGAAGGACCCTTAGTTTCTACTATTTGTCCAATCCCCAAAACTATTAAAGAGTTTCAGGTTATTCACTTGAATATTTAATTTGAGAAAGTTGTTTAATGATCTCATATCTCATATAATTTCTCAAAGAATGTGCTTGGCACACTAGTGTGTCACAATGGACTATGGATGTGTAGAAATATTGACTGCCTTGGCCCTCAGGGGTGGCTGGGCACAGGCTAGAGTCTCGCTCCTCGTCCCTTTATTCCACAATGCAAGAGAGGTACAATTTTCTGTGAGTGATATAACCGGAAGAATCTAAAATTACTTTTACACAGCAATAAAATAAAGTGCTAATCATCCAATGAAGTGTTAATCATCCAGACAACCTCAGCAGGGTTAGACACCTAGTGGTTACTAGGTTACACATTATCTGAATTGCAAGCAATTTGTTAAATCGTCCTGTAGACAATAGCAGAGAAGCTAAATTTGGAACTAGAATCAGAGTCTAGAGTTATATGCTAACTAACCATAAAAGCTTCAAAGTTAAGATCTATCCCTTGGTATTTTCTTCTTATGCCTGATTATTTTGGCAATTATGATTAAATACCTAATCTCAAAAAAGGTTTTTTGCTTATCTGAGTAATTTCATTCCTCCATTTAAGTCAATTTACTTCAAATTTTACTTATTATAGAAAATATATTCGAAGAATTCATATCCTTTTAGAAAGAATGAGAAAATAATTCATGTTAATAGTTTTCAAATGTCTACATCTCTTGGTTTTATTTACTCCTCAAAATAGAAAAATGATTCATGTTTACCAGTTATAAAAGGAAAAAATTAAGTGGTGTGCTTTGTCAACTTCTATATTTTCTATATTTCCCACCCCAACTAGGAGAGAAAATAATAAACAAATTACCTATTGGACTGGTTTTCCTGCACAAATGGATAACAAGTAATCAAGTAGCTGGGAATTGGAGTTGGTTCTATGCCAGAAACATTTCCATTATCATTTGGGAGTGCCATAGGGATCATAAATGTGTCAGGATTCTTCTTCTGGGGAATAAATGGCTCTACCTCAGCTGACAGCTTGACATTCTTCAAAGAGAAAGTGAAACACATTATTAACAAATGAACAAAAAACCTAAGTAATATTAATTCACAATTTAACAAGTCAGTTTTTATAAACAGTAATTGGGTCTCTTTTCAGTATCCACAAAACATCCAAAGGAACACAATGATAAATTAAAATAATTAAGTATGATTAAATTATACAGCAAAAGTCATTAAATAAAAAAGAGGAAAACTTATAAAAGGCTACTACATTTCCATGAAATCTTGTCTTAACAATCAAGAATAGAAGGAAGTCTTTCAAACCTCAGAGTCCCCAAATAAAGTTGACAGTAAGAAATCTAGCTCTGCAGACATAACAATGTGTTTTGTTTTGTTTGGGTTTTCTTTCCCATAGCAATGTGTTTTTAATTAATTTTGTTTGGGGGTGGGGGGGTCATTAAACAGTATTCTGAAGGATAATTATGTTTGTTTGAATAGTCTATTTCTGTCCTTTTCAGGAAATTAGATTAGCACGGTTAAGTTAAAAGGAAGGAAAATGTCTAAGATGAATTTAAAATATACATATATATAAGGGGGAGACAACTTCTGGTTCACAATTAAACTAGGAAAAAAATAAGTATTTCAGTTTCCAAGAAGATAACCTGAGCAAATAAAGTAATTCAAAATATGTACTCTATTTTACTTTATGTCTTTTCTTATAATAAATCTAGATTCAAAAGATGTTTTTAAAACTAAGTATTTAAGAATGCATATATGGTGACAAAACTATAAAGAAGAGTAAGTACGATCCATAAAAGTCAGGATAGGAATTATTGTTAGGAAAGACGGAGCTGTGATTGGGAAGAAATTCTGGGGTACCTGGCAACCTTCTGTGTCCTAACTTGGGTGGTACTTATAAGGTATTCATTTTATGTAATTCATTTACCGTAGCTCTACATTGGTTTTAGGCAGTTTTCTTTTTACATTTGTCATATTGAACAACAAATTTTCAAATTTTAATTATAGCCAAAACCGGTTTGGCTCAGTGGATAGAGCATCGGTCTGCAGACTGAAAGGTCCCAGGTTCGATTCCGGTCAAGGGCATGTACATTGGTTGAGGGCACATCCCCGGTAGGGGGCGTGCACAAGGCAGCTGGTCTATGTTTCTCTCTCATCGACGTTTTTAGCTCTCTATCTCTCTCCCTTCCTCTCTGTGGAAAATCAATAAAATATATTTAAAAATTAATTATAAAAAGAAGAAACCTATAGGCACATTCTGCAAAAGCAGAATGTAAAAAAAACCACATAAATATAAACCAGTAAGAGAAATGCCGTCTAATGTTTTAACCACCAAATCAATCACCTCAAATTAACAACAATTCTAACCAGAACTTTCCCCCAACAAATACACTAGAATAGCATTTATTAGAAGCTCTAACACCAAGGCAGAGTTCTTAGAGTAAATTTCAGGTCTGTTTCTCAGAAATGTACTCAGTAACAAGTCCAAGAAACACTAAAGATAAGACTTTATAATATATGATTCAATATATAGCCTTATTCAGAAAAAAAAAATTCTCTAAAAAGATTCCACTGAAAATTCCAAAGTACTTTTTAAAAAGGAGAAAGAAGATAATCTGAATGATATAGCAGTATTAATTCACTATCCTTCCTCAAATCTGATTTAACTTTGAAGTGTACTTTTATACTACTAACCAAATCTCAAGTAGATATAGGTCATTGAACTTACAAATATCTGAGAACTAAACTCAGTTTCTTAAATTTCAAAACAGGAGGTAAAAACTCTTTCAAATGCTAATAAAATAAGCCAGTTCTCTTCACTATACAGTCACTAGAACTTCAAACTTATTTATATAAGGCATAAAATAATAAACCTAATAAATGTTTCCCTAATTAGGGAAAAAAAAAAGCTGATTTTCAACAATAATACACAGATAATGGAAGCTTGCTTTATATATACACAAGAAGGCAAACAAATCATATTTTAACTATACTAAAAAGATAACTTTAGTACTTTTAAAAATCAAAAAGCCCTTTTGAACTTATATGAATTTTTTGAATAGTTTTATAAATCTGGATGAGAAGACATTAGGATTTTTTTTAAAACAAGAAATATGGTTACATCAAATTCTCAGTCTAACATGAAAAAAGGAGTGCTATTAATAAGGAAACAACAAAATTTAATAACATTTTTCTGGACACTCCCCCCAAAAAATAGAATCCTACATTACTTTTGTAACAAGAAATTCAAATTCTTGCTCAAGTAAAAAGTTGTTTTTTTATACTAGTTTCATCTATACTTTTATTTAAGCATTTTATGAATTTAGGGAAGTTGCTGTTCAAAAGGTATCATGCATAAATTATAACTAATGTCTTCACATACACAGTACATAGAAGTAGGCAAAAATAAGTTAATAACTAATAATATAAATAAATAAAAAATAAGCTCTGTGTTTTGGGTACTCACAACAGTAAACCTATTTTTGCCCACCCCTATACACCCTTAAACATTAAAGTTTGTACTAGTTTCTATTCTAAATGCAATTCTAGATATCAAGAGTTCAACAATACAATTCACAAACACTAAAATGATCCTTTGTGTTCAGCAAAAAAGAGAATCTGCTGTAGTCAACAGCTGTACAAACAGAAGATGTCACTAGTAGGAACAGACTGGCTAACTCTCCCCTATAGTTACAATTCTGTATGTTTTTAGAAGTTGTTTATTGTGACTTGGGGCCTTCATTGTAATGCATCAAAATGCAGCACCTGCTGTTTTCAGACCTGAAATGTAATGTTAAGATAATGAACTATTCTTAAAATTCCATAAAATAAACCCTGTAAAGATAATACATTAAGCAAGCAACAGATTCTGGCAATCTTTCAATTATACTAGTATAGAAATTAAAGAAAAATGCCTTACACAGTGGAGAACAAAGACATTTTGAGAAAATTAAACTGGTTACTTCATGTAATACTCTTCAGTTTGAATTTTGGTGTTTAGTCTCTCTACCTTTGCCAAAATCTATTTTTTAGAAATCAGAAATTTTATAGCAAGGAGTTATCTCCTTAAAGTAAAGAAAATATAAATATGGTATAAGTCTAACTACAAAGAACAAATTCCTGTATTATTTGCTTAAAAATACAACACTACATAATAAAATTACCTTTCTCTTTTAGAAATTATTTCAGAATTTTCCAAACTAATGAAAAATCATAATCCCAGAAACATGTATTGGAAAAAAAGTTACACATTAATTTTAAATCCTGCATATTTTAAAACAAATGTCAATAATAAAACCTCATTAATGGAAATAATCTAGAAACCCCAAGAATTACTCAAAACATGAAACTATAAAAACCTCATTAAGTGCTCTTTAAATTGAAGTTTTTATTAAACAAATGCATTCAGATCATTAAAAGTCTTTATAATGCAATAAATATGCATTGAGCACATATTTAGGAAAGAGCACAGTATAGACACGTTTAGGGAAAATGGGCAACATTATTACTAAGCACACATCAGCAGGAAATGTACATTAAACCCCCCCAAGATAGAACCTCCTGAAGAGTGAGAATAATTTCTCCAGGTTAAGCAACAGAAAAAAGTCACCCGCTTAATATCAAGACTGAACTGGAACATAATAAGGCACTCTCCCCCTGTGAAATTTCAGTATGTACCACACACCTACAGAAAAAAAAATATAATCATGGAAAGCCTCCACATTCTTACTATATGTTGAGGTAGAAATCTGATATATCAAATATTAAGATATTTGATATATCAAATATTAAGATTACTATATGTTGAGGTAGAAATCTGATATATCAAATATTAAGATGTTATGGCAAAAGATAAATGTCTTCTAAATGAAAAACATTTTAATGCTTAAGAGATACCTGCTAGCTGTATTGTTTTCTGTTGGAGTGGCTTACAATGAAAGTAAACCACTTGCCAAAATAAACTTCAGTAGTTAAACATTAAAAAAAAAAAAAAAAAAAAATCCAAGTATTTAACTTACGACTCTGCCCATTTGCTTTGCTATCCAGATATTTCCCCCTTTTCTTAAAACAAACTGCATCTAATCCTGTTAAGTACTAGTGGTGCTTTTCTAAAAACTGTTTTATAAATTTAACATTAGTTTTTGGATTATTTTATTCATGTTTTTACATTTTCTCCCTTGCTTTTGTGGGTTCCACCCCTCCCCCCCAACTCCTTGCCTTGAATGCTTAATTTTTATTTTCCTTTTAATAAGTTTAACAATGGAAGTATTTATACTATACATTTGCCTCAAACAAATTTAAGAGCTTAGGGGAAAACTGGAGGCCTGGTACACAAAATTTGTGCACTTGGGGGGGGGGGAGCGGTCTTTCAGCCCAGCCTTCGGCCTTCCGGGAGCTCTTGTGGTATGTCCAACTGATGAGGAACAGGCCTAAGACAGCAGTCGGACATCCTCAGCGCTGTCATGGAGGCAGGAGAGGCTCCCGCCACTGCTGCTGCACTCGCCAGCCATGAGCCTGGCTTCTGGCTGAGTGGCATTCCCCTTGTGGAAGCGTACTGACCACTAGGGGGCAGCTCCTGCATAATCTTTCCGCCATTCGGTCAATTTGCATATTAGCCTTTTATTATATAGGGTATTAAAATTTCCAAATGGCATTTTCACTAAATGAGCATTATTTACTTTCATTTTTTTATTTTAAAAATCTGTTAAAACAGATTACTAGTTTATATTCATAAAGGCAAACTATAAATATTATGTATTACATTTTAGTAATTTACTTAGAATATGTTTAGTAATTGCAGTTTCTACATTATTTAAAGGAAAGAATTATAAGCCAGATAATTTTGTATGTTTATTGGTGAACAGCAATTTGTATGAAGTCATATCTATTTGTTATACATTTTCTAAGAATTAAAGACAATAGTGATCAAGAACATTGTCAATTCTTAAAAAACAAGCAAAAAAAATCTCTATCTAATGTTAATGTACTAAAAATTTAAGCCAATGTTTAAATTATTTAATAATTCAAAAGAGACTATAAATCTCAAGTGTCCTGTCACTTCTAAGGCCATTGTTTATTTTTTTAAATCTCAAAACACTGTTCTAAGATTTCTAAAAATAGATACACTAAAGCCTTTATAAACAAAATAAACTCCATGATTTATTCTTTACATCACTTTACACCAGCTTTTTTTGTGTGTGTTTTTTTAAGGACCAAAAAAAGCATTATACCAAGCCATATTTGTTCTTAGAACATCTAATTCTGGCAGTTAAAATTAAGCTACTTGCTTTGATTTAAAACAGTCTTGCTAAAAGATAATATTCCTGAAATTCTCTTCTGGTTATAAGATTCTTTCGTATAGTCATTATTGCAATCAAGACTATTATCTAGCACATATTCCTAATAACCTTGATCAAGTTTTTATAATCTTAATCAGATATTTTCTTAAAAGTTACACTGTGTAATACTCCAGGGATTTCAATTAGGTTAAGATGAAATGCAGAAAGTTTGTATTAAGTACTTTAGAAGAAAATTTACCTTCTATTAATTACTAACCACTCCAATATTATAATAAGTTATAAATGCTGTAAGCATTTCCAGAAATTCTGAATATAAACCAACATTGGTTTAAAATGAAAAAACAAAAAACACAAAATCATTTTGTGAAGAAAAATGAAAATTCAGCATATTATTACATATATTTTTTATAATTTTTATTTATCTAAATTCACTTCATTATAAAAATATGAAAGTATATTCCTAATAACCTGGAAAAGCCATTGCATTACTCTGGTATAGTAGAAACAATCAAGAACCCCACAAAGTTGAGAAATCTCAGTTCTAGACCCAATCTACCATTAAGTTAATGGCAGCTTTTTTTCAATGATGGGTCCCTTTGAAAATATCATGAAAATAATGGAATCTTGCCCCAGAAATATGCTAATATAAAATGAAGCACCTGCCATCCAGGTCATCCAGGGACCCTGAATCAACATTGGCCTACAGCATGAACTAGGCAAAGTAGCATCTCTTTTATGGATCTTGATTTCTATGTGTGGGGGTAATACAAGGGAGTGGTTGAAATTTTTCTCTTAGGATCAGGGTGGGGAAGAGGCGGGAGGTACTGGAGGAAAAAGAATGGAAACAATGTTTGTTTTTTCTAATTCTTAAGTTTCTACAAGATTTCAAATAGGTTGTGGACTTTGAAAAAATGTAGGATGAAAGAGGAAGAGGCTCTCTAGTTGAAATAATTTGCTCATAGCACTTGCTGTTAAGATAATTACACACAAGAGATCATCTAAATAGTTAATTACATTACCTCTAGGATGAAAGGAACCATAAGTATACATGCGGTGGCATTCTGGTTATAGTTCTGGCATCATAGTGTAGGACCAAAATGTTTAACCCTTTCATTAGTGACACACATACAAGAAACTTATTCAAGAAAACATCCTATTACTTTGTCTTGGGCATTTTTAATAAGATACCTTAAATTTTTGTTTTTCACTAAACTGTATATAGGCCTTACATAGAATATACTCTGGATTAAAAAGAAAGCCCATATGTATTTGCCAAAGACGCTTCAGTCAATTTTGCTTTGGTGACTCCACATATAGTTTCATAAACTCATTTGTGTTTTCAGAGTCATATTCACTCTAAGTCACATAAAGCTTTTTTAAATGACTAAAACTTTTCTAGAAACAAATATACACAAGTAGGAAACTGCTTTGCCTGCTCAAAGAGCCCAGTTTCTATGTCAAAACTGGCGTTGACTGGCAACATATAATCAATTATATAGAGGAATTTGGGAAATCCTGTCTCATTAAGGTGTTAATCATCCACTTGTAAAATAATTAGGCAAATCACTAATCTCTCCTTTTGCTTCATCTGTTAGACTAGTTCATCACTGGGCATGGCCTACCATTAAAGAGGGGAATGGAGAGTGAATAAACTTCGGACTTCATCAAATTTCCGTCATTTCATGGAGGTCTCAAGATTGGAAACTACTGGAACTTCTTGGAGGAAATAAAACATTATTTCATATTCTTATTTTTTTTTTAATTGTGATGACAACTTAAAAAAATCCCTGCCTCCTAGCACCTACTTAGCAAGGAGAATCAAGAATGTGGTACAATTAAAAACATGACAAATCCTATGGGACTTCTTTGTGGATCACTTCCATGAATTCATGCTTCGGGTCCTATACCCTTAAGATATAAGCTTGATTTTAAAAAACAAAACAAAACAAAAAAAAACCCCACAGCACTAATTTTTGCAAAATAATTAGGTGGAAGGGCAAGGGGAAGCTGCAGCATTTCCTATCTTAAAGGGAACACCTCCCTTAAACCACTGTTAAAAGCAATGCTTCGCTCTCTGGAACGCAGGTCTCCAGGAGCCCAGACCCCCCTCTTCTGCAGCGATCTATCCCTGGCTCCTGACAGTCCCTCTGGGTGAGGAGCCTCCGAAAGCCTCTCCACCTGGAAAACACATTCCAGAACGGACGGGAGGCGGGCGTGGGGCAGGTTCGGTTGGAAGTTACAAACCCTCCGCTCGGGGAGCACGGACGGCTGGGGAGCCTCGGGGCCCCTCTCCCCAGGCCGGGGAGGAGGGGCGGAGGCGAGCCCCGCGCCGGGCGGGGACGGTAAACAAGGCTGGACAAGCGCCCCTGCCCGCCGAGGCGGCACCGGGAACAAAGCAGCGGAGCGGGGCGCGCCGGGGAGTCCGCGCCCGGCAGCCCCGGGCTCCGGCGGTCCGGGGCCCAGGCTGGGAGCCCGGGGCCCGCCGGGAGGAGGCGGCCGCCCCCGGCCCCCGGCCCGGCTGGCCCGGCCCCGGCAGCCCCAGCCCGCGTACCTGCTCTGCTGGGGCTCGGTCCATGGCGCCTGCAGCCGCAACGGGCCCGCTTAGTCGGTGTGGAGAGCGCCTCGGGCCGCTTTCTCCATGGCCCCCCGCTCGGCCTTCCACCGGGCTCCGGACCTCCGCCCCTCTCTGGCTGGCCCCGACGCAGAGTCCGGCTACGCCACAGGCGGCGGAGGTGGACCTAACTCCGGGAGATGGAGGAGGCGGTGGCACCTTCGGGGAGGGATCATCTGGGACGGAAGCCGAGATGGGCCGAAATAAGCGAAGGCGTAGCCGGAAATGGCGGTACGAGGGGCGGGGCCTAGAGGGGTAGTGGGCGTGGCCGAAAGGGCAGTGGGCGGGGCGGGACCTGCCGCGGGCTCACCTGCAGGCTGTCCCTGGGGCGGGCGTAGGAGCAGGTGCCCGGCCGCTATGCGCTTTGCATTGCACTTCACTGCCCCTCTGGACTGTTACACTGGAGGCCTAGCAGCCACTGGGGACTCAGGACAAGTCTTCAGGGACCACAGAGACCACGTCATTAGCCCAAACCACCTCTTTAGTGAAGTTGTGAGAGTTTTTAATCTGCCCACTGGGCACACGAGCCTTTCTACTGTGACCCGCTAAAGGGAGTCAGGACTGTAAAGGAAAATACCATAGGACATGCTGTCCAACCGATAATGGTGTATCCTCTGGGATGTTACTGTTTCCACTGCCCTTACTGATCAATCGTTCCTTTTATCTCCTCCAGCTCACTGGCTCCGTGGGGAGAGAGACTGCCGTGAAACTGGACCCTTGCTGAGCCTGGCAGACTCCCCCACTCCCCCCATCTCCTCAGGCCCACCGTCCAACCACCACCCCTTCCCCAAGAGTTCTTGCTGGCTGGTCAGCTCCCGGGTGAGGAAGAAAAAGTAAACACCTACATAAGCTAAATTATACAGAAATGAAAGAAGAGAGCAGAGGCTACTCCTGTTTGGAGGATTGAGGGATGTGGAGATTTGAGCTGGGAAAAAAGAGTTTTTAAGAAGTTTGCTGTGTCATGCTTCAGGGAATTACCTTTTCAGTTTGTCTAGGACTAACTTGTTAGTCTGGTTTTATTTGGATAGGACTCCATGAAGAGGCTGGTCTGTGAAGCCCCTGTACTTAAGTGGATCATGTATTTGACCTGGTGACAGATGCTATATTGGATTAACAAGAGTTACACCAATGCCCTGGCTAGTGTGGCTCAGTTGGTTGGGCGTCATCTGGCGCACCCTTTTGATAGGTTGTCGGTTCCCTTACTCTCTCTCTATAAAAATCAATTTTAAAAAATTATTAGAAAAAGACTTAAATCAAGGCTGGCAGAAAAACCCTTTGTAAGGAGATCTCTCTCCTTTCTTCATTTTATAAACTCTTCTGCCTCTTCAAAATATCCATGTATGTGGTGTATACATATTTATCTGTTCAAATGGCACATGCATGTATGACTGTTACACACATAAGCAATTCATGTACTGTTAGGTCCCTCGTGTCTATCAGTGAATACTGAATGAGCTTAGGTTTGCTCAGGAAAATGAAGCTATTTATAAGATGTAGTTATGTAAACTAACAGATGATCATCCTTCACAATTTTCAGACAGAAAGAACTCTGAATTTTTAGAATGTCTCCCCACTAGTGGTTTCTAGCCATAAGATAACCCCATCTGAGTAAAAAGGTAATAAGAATGCAATAATAATTCAGTCATAAAAAATAGTACAGTGCTTAGGTTTTCTTCCTAAGGAAACTGAAATATAGGCTCTCTAAGGATCTTTCCACAGCATGGGATTTTTATTCTCTTGTTGAGGATCTCCTATGTACAGGACATTCATTTTAAGTTTAAGAACAGAATTATAAGAAATTATAAGAATAAAATGTTACAGTGTCCTCCTTTTTTAACATAATCCTGGAAAAGACTGAAATAGCTATTAGGATAAAAAATTAAATTATGTGAAGAAAAGGAGGACATTTAAAAGCATTTAATTATTTCACTCAGCAACAAATATTTAATGTGCCAGGTGCTATGCTAGGCCTGGAGGTATAGCAGTGAAGAAGGCCCTGTGAGAGCAGAGAACATGTTTGTCTTATGGGCAAGTCTACATAGAACCAGAAATGACAAGTGAGCTGAGTATCATGAAAAAGAAAGTTCAATAGGTTTTATCATATTGTGAGATAGAAGATCAGCAAAGTCTTAGCTAAGTAAATAGCATCTAAGCAAAGATCTAAAGGGTGCACAGGAATTAGAATATATGTGCAGAAGAAGTAGGAAAGCGATTTCAAGCAAAGGAAATGGCATGTGAAAGGACTCTGAGGTAAGAGAAAACCCAGCATTACACTTAATTTGGTTTCATTAAAATGAGAGTTCAAGATGAGGGTCAATCCAATAGAGCAGGGTATCTGAGAAGGTCGAAGGGATAGGTTATAAAACTCAGAGGCAGAAATTGGCCTGTGATGGGAGTAGAGCACGTTGTCCTCAATAAGAGAAGGGAAGGAAGAAAGAATAGATGTGGCTCCAAGTGTATTTATAAGTTGAAGGAAGGCTTAATGGCTTCTATTTTCTCGGTGAAGCAGAAGGCAAGGTTATGTGCTGACAATGAAGGGAGACAGAGTGGTGATGATCACATGTTTGTCAAAATTCAGCAAGTAGATATTTAAGACTCGTGCATGTTATTATATGTAAATTTTACATCAAAAGAAAAAAAGCTGTAAATAAATATTGAACTCTGGTTTTAACAAATGCATGAACCTATGGAACCCAAATTTCTATCAAGATTCTATCTAAAAAAAAGCAGCCCTCAGAGTTTTACCACTACCCCTGTGGCTTTTAAAACTGCACTACTTGTGTCAAATGTTTATCTAATTCAATATTGTATCCTTACTACCTATGCTAGTGCCCAGCACAGAGCAAGTGCTCAGTAAATATTTGTTGAATAAACAAGCGTGTGGTATTATATTAAATCGGGATTCTTTCATGCAGGGTTGGGTTTTGTGTATGTTATTAAATAAGCAGGATTGAGTAGGAAGCAAGAACAGAATTATTGTATATTTTGCTCCACTGTCTCTCCAAAAACTCTGAGGGCTACTTTTTTTACTCGCTTGGATGAAATCTCATGAAGGGGATGCAAACTTTGCTCCAACTTACAGCTTTTCCTTTTCCCAAGTTCAGTTTTGCTCCAGGCCAGAAGGCTGTAGTAGGGGGACATGGTGGAGGCCACGTTTGTTTTTGCTTTCTTTCTTTATCATCTACACCTCCTCCACCTTCACTACTCACTGATTCAGCTTTTATATTCTTCCACCTTTGGGTTTTGATGGGAAGGTGTCTTAGATGCATCCTATGTACGAAGGCACTTCTGGGGACCACATATGACCCTACTCCTCACCTTTGATCTTCTGAGGGTTCAAGCTATTTTCTTAGCTAGGCTCCCTTTTTGAATGGCTTCAGAAAGAGTTCTCTCCTACCGTCCCTGGGAGCATTTTATTGATTTATCACTTATCTATCCATCTATCCATCCATCCATCCCTCTAGCAACCCATTAATCCATCTTATTTTTGGTGCATAACAAAGTGACTTGTCAACATCAGCACACTTTCCCCTGGGAACAATTGATGTGTCCAGTTGGTAAAAATGCAACTTGTTTCCAGTGTCTCTCTATGTGTCTTTAGTTTGCCTTTGGTTTCCTCAGGTCCCTGTATTCCCTTGTATCAAGTTCTCCAAGTGTTTCCCTGAAAGCTCCTCCCACCATAGCTTGAAGTAAGCATCTCCTTTTTCCCCATTGGAGGTGTAGGTAGGTATCAGATATCTCCAAGCAATACTCTTCATGAGTTATGAGTTATCAATCCCCTCCCCCCACCCCATCCCACTCACCCTGTATGGGATGGAGATGAGGGATGAATAATGCGAAGCTACAATTTCTTAGCCTATCTTAGCAATACCCTTTACAGGCCATGTGACTTTGAAAGTCACTTAAATCCAGCCAGTGTGGCTCAATGGTTGAGCATCGACATATGAACCAGGAGGTTTAGCTTGATTCCTGGTCAGGGCACATGCCCAGGTTGTGGGCTCGATCCCCAGTAGGGGATGTGCAGGAGAGCATGCACCTCACTCTGCCCCAAAACTTAAGTGATGGCTCACCGCCTACTCCAAATGCATTCTGTGCTTTTCTCCCTCCCTGACTTTGCTCAGATGGTTCTTCTTCCTTACATTCCCTTCCCATCTTGCAACTCATTTCCTTCATTTCCTGGATGAAAAGAATCCTCCGAGAATTCCTCTAATTTGTTGTGCTACATCCTGCCTTAAATTGTTTGTGTGCTGTGTATCATTTTTATGTCGTTATTTCCCAGAATGCACACTCCTCAAGAACATGAATCAGCTTGCCATAGTCACTAGAAGAAGGAAAGTTATTATGGTTATTATTATTATTATCATTATTTTAAAGATGTTTAATAGCTCCCAAGTAATTCAATCCTCACCCAAGGACATGCTGGGTTTTTTGTTTTGTTTTGTTTTGTTTTTGGTGTGTGTGTGTGTGTGTGTGTGTGTGTGTGTTTAAATTGAGTCTAGAGAGAAGAAGGGAGATGGAGAGAGAGAGAAATATCAATTTGAAAAAGAAACATCAATCAGTTGCCTGCTGTATGCGCCCTGACTGGGGATTGAACCCTAACCCTTTTGTGCACTGGTTGATGCTCTAACCAACTGAACTTCACTGGCCAGGGCGAAAGTAATTAAATGGTACATTTAAATAGCAAATCCTCAGCTCCAGAGAGAATACAGTGAATAAAACTAAATTAGAAGATAACATGCAAAAATAATTGTGGCTGGTAGGATCAGCCATATGAAAGATCAACAACTATGAACTGCCTTATGAATAATCAGTTTAGTTAGGAGTGAATTGAAGAGGAATGAGTGGATTGCATGAATGGACTCTGAGAGCCAGATAAAGAGTCAGACACGGCATTCATTTTTATGGCAGTGAGGCCTTCTGGCCGGCCAGCTGAAAACAGGAAATCACGTCCCAGATTTATTATG